GGGGAGCGTGGCGGCGCTCCCGCCGAGGGTTCGGATCCCACATACAGACCGGTTCCCGCTCACTGGCTGAGCAAGGTGCGGGCGCAACGCCAAGGGTTGCAATCCCGTTGCCGGCGTTGCCGGTCCCGGTCCAGTACGGGCGCGACACTGAGGGTTGCGATCCATTGCCGGACACNAAAAAAAAAAAGATTTTGAATTAAGATTTTTCCATGAAAAAGACTTTTAGTGGAGCTAATGATACACCAAGAGTGTTGAATTCTGGAAGAAGATTGAAAGAAAACCTGGTTGCAAGAGAAAGACACAATGGATACTTATATACCTGAACAGGGTAAATTACCTGTTCTCTGTTCTACCCTTCCTACATGGCATGATTTCTTTCTCAGAGTTATTACCTGCTGTTTAGCCAAAGAGATCTTGCCTATGTGTTGCTGAGCTTGGGGGTCAAGATGGGGGTGTGGATAGATGCAGCAGACCCAAGAGAAAGCAAAATACTCTGGGGAGGAGCTTTAAGTGGGAGGCAGGGTAGGCCAGAGGCCCTTGTCCCAGATACCCAGCTCTGAGAATGAAATGTTGCTTCCTAATGGACTTTAAATTACCAACATGCTAAACTCTCCCTTAATAGACTTGTAAAGATCTGCTTACTACCTTTTTCCCTCTTCCTGTAGAATTTTTAATCAAGAGCCCAATTTTGTCATTTGGAAATACTAATTATCTAATCATGGCATGCTGCATAACGTACTTGTCTGCCCAATTAGCTAGGACAATTATTAAAATTCAGAGGCCTAATTATGTCTCAATTTAATGCTGGCAAACTTGCATACAGAGCAGTAATTAAAATCCTCTTTTTCCCTCTGCCTTTAGGGCAGGGGCTGATTAGGCCTTGTCAGGGGGTGTACTGAACCAAACCAGTGAAGCGTATTGTGCAACATGACCCTGCATTGTTAAGTGTGTCAACATATTAACCTGAATTCCCTTCAGCCCCCACATAATCACATATGGTGAAGGAATAAAGGAGCTAAAACATGAAGCGTTTTATTAAAAAAACATAAATTCTTTTTAATTAATGCTATGAGAGTTCTGATGAATTTCATTCTTCCAAGTGCTGGAAGACATAAGACTGGTTCATCTAATTACTAGCACATTTGGTCTTGTTAAAACTACTTATTTTTACTCATTTAAAGAAAATGATTTTTTTTTAGTGTGGTAATAAAAAAGAAAAAAACTCTAGCTAGTTGGCTTCCAGTAATAAAGTTGATTAGCAGCTTTGATGATGAAACACAAGTGAATGTTGACTTCCAAAAGATTCAAACCCAAGACTGGAGGCATTGGGGGGAGAAAAGCTATAATTTAATACTTGAAAAACATTAATAAAAGTGGAACATTAAAAATCATAATATTGAAACAAATTCAAAATATTTATCTTTTGAACTCTTAAGTTTGATGTTTGAAATCAAATCAGCATGAAGAGACCAGAGCACTGCACAAATTCATGATGCTTTTGAAGCCCAACTGCATGCAGGAACCTAGATGGTGTGTGTCCATTCTGCTAGCATCTAAATCTTCTTCCCTCTGAATTGAGAACCACAAAACCCATTAAGACTTCTGAGCTGTCCTCTAAATTCTGGCTTTCACTCATGATGGTCTTTAGTGATTATTCATGTATTTTACTAATAAAGGATAGTATTCAGTCTAGACCAAAAATGAATTATTCTGGAGCAGGACTTTTTCAAACTTCCAAACTTGCAACT